GAGGCCAGAAGAGGGAACTGGATTCCATGTTACTGATGGTTTTGATCCATCATGTGGGTGCTGGGAACTGAACCCGAGTCCTCTACAGGAGTAGTCCATGTTCTTTTGTGCTGAGCCCTTCCTCCAGACACCAATGCTGTGTTTCTGAATCATTGATTTTTTTTTAGATCGGATGCCAACATTAATAAAATGAAAAGCTATCTCCCCCACCCAGACCAAAAAAAGAAATAAATAAAATAAAAATAAAAATTCTAGCCACACATCTCAAATTCCTAAATTGAACAGTAGTTGTCAAGACCCCACACTCTTGCTCTGGGCATAATTTTCTGGAGGGAAATGGGCCAGGTGTTCCCATCACATGGCATGTGCTTGCTGGCATCCCTAACCAACCACATTTTGCCTGTCTGCTTAACCCTGAAGAGATGCCTCATCTTTTTATCAGCATTGCCTGTATGAACACTCAGGGACTGTAGGTCTGTGAGACTGATGTAGACTATACATATGGGAACATCAGCAGATGGAGGGGCTCTTTAGCATCTAGCACACAAAACCCATGCTAGATGCTCAGAACATGCTGTGAATTTGATTTGCTATTTCCCACAAGATCATTGTGGGCGTCTATGTCCACTCACACAGACTTCCTGCCTTTTGGTGCACCTCATCCTACTTGAAGCTTAGTCATTACACTCACCCTCATCCATGCTGCCTGAGATGTTCTCTCTTTCTCCCTCAACTCAACTGCTACTTTCTCTGGAAGCCTTTTCTTGAAAGTTCTTTGATTATGTCAGATCTCATCATGATGTACCTTCAAAACACTCTTGACTTGCACTTCATTACCACTGTGAGGTGTTGTTTGTAGGGAGGGGGAGTGCTTTTTGTCAATTTTTCCTATTGAATTGTAAGCTCCAAGAGTGGAAACAATGTCTGTGTCCTTACTAATGGAGACACCACTCTTCATCCGATGTCATAGGCATGGCAAATGCTTGAAGTTGAAAGGAAAAAGTGAATGAATGAATGAATGAATGAATAATTGAATGAATGTTATCAGCAATTCAGAGTGTGGTTATCCATTTCCACTCTGTTCTGGTGCCTGCCTGCCTCTTGTTGTTTAAGCCTAGTGGACCAGGGTGACTCTAGTAGACCAGAAGCGAGTTCTCTTGTCTGATGTTCTGTGCATCTTGAAGACATCCTGAACATTTTGCTCAGTTTTTATCTTCTGAATCTGATATAGAATGTCAAAAACAGATAGTGAATGGCCACACTGATCAGGCAGGATTTTCTGTTGAAGATAGGCCAGTAGCATCTGTACGTACTGGCTTACACAGGATAGTCTTTCAGAGCCTTACCTTGGGCTATATTTCAAAGCACTGCAGCAGTAGTGCCTGCCACAAATGAATGTGCTGTGGCTTATGGGACACCCTATTAGCTCTGGCTATGGAGTTTCTGTTGGTCAAAGCATTTTTTAAGCATCATTAACCTTATCGGGTCCAGCCATTGCAAAATTAGGTAAGACATGTAAAGTATAATGGAAAGACTACGATCAAGACAGGACTTAAAGTGACATAGTCCCATGCATGTGTGCACCTTTCTTGGTGCCTGTGAAGTTTGCACACCTACTGCAGGCCTGTAAAGTTTGATTCCAGACAGATGTGGTTTTGTCCACCGGGGTGTGGGGGGACCTATTATCCACACAAAGTTTTAAAAAATATAAAGATTTTCTAGTCACACATGCCTCATCAGCAAGCCAGGGCACATAATTAATTGGGCAGAAGGCTCACTGGGATTAATTAGCAGTTGCATAGGAAGAATTTAGCTCAGACTTCCAGGGCAGAGGATGGTGTTCTAGAATGACCAGTTCCTAGATGCCC